AATAATTCATTAATATCTTTTTTGCACATTTTTATTAATTCATGATTTATTTGAATAGGGTGAGACTTAGTAGGAATTTGTCATTTATTAAAATTTTTAATATAAGGGAGAGTGACTACATGTTTTTTCCTATGCCAAAATGCAGTAGGCAAAGTAGAACAAACAGTTGATTCAAGTTTTAATTTGAAATCAGTGATTTGAGAAATAAGAACGGGATTCGTCAATTGTTGGTCAATGCGTTTATGATTAATTTCTTCTTTAAGAAAATTTAAATGCCGAGTGAGACGATTAATTTGATGGGAAATAGAACAATCTTTTAATTGATTTAAGTGTAATAGTTCTGGAGGAGATAAAAATTGAAATGTAACGGGTTGGCCTAAAACATGTGTAGTGATACCTGTACTAGATGTAGTAAATGGATACAATAAATATATAAATGGGGAACCTAAAATAATTTTATCAGTCATATTGGTAACTAGAACAAAAGAGATTTTAAAACATACATTATCTTGGCAGACATGAACTTTGGGTAATTTATATTTGATATGCATTCGAGTACCATTAGCAGAAGTTAATTTCTCTTGACATTTTTCATAATATTTAGTAGGTAGTAATCCTTCTTGTATACAATTTAAATTAGCACCAGTATCAATTAAAGCAATTAATTCTAATTCAAAATCATTTATAATTATTTTAATTTTTGAATACCATTTTTGAATGTAAAGCTTATTAATTAAACTTAACCGTTTTTCTTCAGGATTGTTGGATTGAGAGTGGTGTGATTGGTTGTCGAATAACAAATTATCAGGATTAGTAGGATCAGAATCATGATTCATTTGGAGATTCTTGATTATTATTTTGGAAATTATCTAAACTTTTATTAAGTTTTAAAGTAATAATTTCGTCTTCCAATTTTTTATCTTTATTTTGTAATTCTTTAATTGTTTGTTTGATGTGATTGATTTCTTGTTGTAAATCTTGTAAGGTAACTTCTTTTTGCTTATTTTTAAATGTATCTAAGGTTTTAGATAAACTAATTATGGGTTTATCAAACTTAGGTTTGTTATCGGAATGAATTAATAATGATTTTAATTTATCAATATATTTTTGTTTTAATTTGGGATCATCTAATTTACTAATTAATTCAATAAGAGCTGATTCTTCTTGAGTATTTTTTGTAAGAACAGTAATTTGTTTGACTGGTTTACAACAAACATCATTACATCCTATAGTAATATTGTTATCAGAATCATCACTAGGTGATTGGTAATCGGACGAAGTATGGGGATGGTCAGAAGAAGAGGAACTACTAATAAATTGATTTAATTGAAAGATTTCATATAATTGATTCTTGGAATTGTCATCAATTTGAAGTTAGTTAACTTTATCTTTTAATTTTTGTTTTTCTTTACATTTATTTGAGTAATGACCTTTTTGACCACAGTTATAACAAGTAATATCCTTGGTAGATTTAGATTTTGGATGTGATTTAGATTTATAATATGTCTTTTTAGGCTTGGTATAAAATTTATCATTGGATTTGGAAGGTGAATAATTCTTTTTATATTTATTAGAATATTTATATGATGATCTATGTTTATGTTTGGAGTATTTATGTGATTTCCTACGAGAGGGTGCAACAGGAGGTAAACCATATTGTTCACAGAAATTGCCTAATTCATATTTGGCTTTATGTTTATCTTTATTAGCTTTTTGAGTAAGTTTAAGATCAATACACATTTTTAAACCTTCTTTTTGAATAGTGCTAATTATATCACCATATGTTAAATTATCATATTCAATAACACCAGTAGGTTGACTAAGAACATCTCTAATTTTGTGAGCAAATAAGCTAGGTAATCCATTAATAAATTTTTCTTTCCAGAATGATTTGGTACAGTCTTCTCGTAGCATAACACGAGAGGTAAATACATCTTTATACCATCTAAAATCACTTAGGGTTGGACAGTTAAGATTACTGAGTTGATCATGTATACGGGAGTATATATTTGTAGGAGTACCAATAAAATGGCGGACGATAGTATAGATTAATTGGTTAATTCCATCAGGATGACAACATCCTAGAGTTTCATCAAAAATAGGTAGACCATTTTCATCAGTTTGATTAGCATATAAAATGGAGTCACGTTGTTCTTCAGTGAGGTATTTTTCCCACCAAGATTTGAGCATACCATTAAACCCGGAGGTAATTAAGGAAACAATTTCAGGTTGAGAATATTGGGGATAATTACTGAGATAACTATTGGCTACCATAGATAAGTGATTTAATTTTTGAAGGATTTGGTCCTCACTAAGACCATCAATATTCCATTCATATAATTTTTTAGCAGAAACAGAAAATTGATTATTAAAATTAGTTTCTTCAAACTGGAGATCAAGTGGAGTAGGTCGTGAATACCAGTTTTTGGTAGTCTGAGGATTAACTTTGGGATAATGAATTTTATTAAGATTAGAAGGTTGAAATTGTTGGGCTAATTGGTCAATTTCATTATCAGTGGTTTCGGTTTCAGTTTGATCAAAAACAGTATTAGTAATAGGCTGTTGATTTAAAACAGTAATACCTTTATCTTTGGAGGTAGAAGTATCATTGGGAGTTAATTTAGTAAATAAGTGTTCAATGGCTTTGACAGTTGATTGATCATTTGTAACCAGGCTAGTTCGTTTGGAGCGATGACTAGGAAGATTTAGTAAAGGTTGATCTAAGGGTTTAATAAGTTTTGTAGATTGGCCATCTAAATTAGTTTCTAGTTTATCTAATTGTTTGCCAATTGTTTTTAAACATTGATTTGTATAATTGTTTTGTTTAATAACCTTTTTGATCTCAGGGTCAGTGCCAGGTAATTTAAAAGGAGAGGCTGGAATTTCAGAACCTTGGTGATCAATGATTATGTTTTCTAACGGAGGATGATTAGAACTAACAGAAGTGTTAGGAGAAGTTTTCCATTTATGTTTCGTGATGGTGTTAATCTTTTTGTAATATTGATCCATATAATCAAAGAAAGATAATTCAAAACCATATTGAACCATAAAATCATACCATTTTCTAGTTATGCGGGATTGTTGAGTAGAGTCATATTTAGCACGATAAGCATGTCTTTTAGTTCTATTTTCTTTAGATCTAAAGTCAATAAGTAATTTATCTAAATCAGGAGTAAAATCTTTTTGATTGTCATGAGTTGAAGATTGACTGGTGGTATAAATTCTTCGAAATCAGTTTGGGTCGGAGAAGTATTTGAAGCTATTTCTTCTTCTGGAAAATGTGTGGTAGTAGTATAAACAGGTTTACTTATTTGAGAAGTTGTAGAATTATCAATCCCTTTTAGTTTATTTTGGGAAGTTTGGTTGGTTGGACCAAGATGTATTTGACTATTTTTGCGAAATAAAGGAGTATTAAATATTTCATCATCAGTTGTAATTTCTGTAGGGACACTAGAGGTACTATGTCGAGAAGATTGACTTCGATTAAATTTAATTCCAACAGAACCATCATTAAATTGTTGAATATTTTGAATATCTTGGATAGAGGATTGTTGTTGAGTATGTTTGTAATTTTCATTGACAGTAATCCATTGTTCAGGTAAATCTATATTTTGCCATTCAATCATTTGGGGAATATTAATATTGGATTCATCACTACTACTACTTTGGATTAATAAAGTTTTATCTTTGGGGCTTTTATGTAAAGCATGAACATTTAAATTGGTTTGCATACATTTATAATGAACACGATAAATTAAAGCAATATTATGAAC